AGTGGGGAGTCAGAGGCTGTGGAAGTCTGCTGTAGGCCTGATTAGCTAGGGAGTGCCAATCAGGGAAGATTTGACATTTGAGCTGGGCTCTGAAGGATGAATTGGAGTTTGCTGGTTGGCTGAGGGAAGAGGAAGGGTGTTCTGGGCAGAAGGGAGAATATGTAAAGGTCTGAGGCAAGAAGGGCTTGCAGTTGGTGGTATGGCCATCAGTAGGGGCCTTGAGTGTAGGTAGTGGGGAGCCATGGTGGGTGTTTGAGGAGGGGATGGAGCAGCCTGTTGGTTTGCGCATCTAGGGCCTCACTGTAGGAGGCATGATATTGGATTATGGTGGGGCAGGGCGTGTGGGCTGTGGGCACCTGTCCTGGGAGGTGGCTCAGAAGAGCCCATCTTTGGGCTTGACGGGCCTGGGTTTGAATCCTGGCTTCACCCCTGACTTGTTGCATGGCCATGGGCGAGTCACTTAATCTCTGAGAGACAGGGACAGCAGTATCACTTGTCATGAGTGTGGTCCTCCGAAGACTGGCTTTGATGTGACTTGGGGCAAATTACTGATCCTCTCTGGGCCTCAGTCTCCCGGCATCTGTGGCCTAGGGTAGACGTGAGGATTATCCCAGGGAACTCATGTCCCACACCTGGAGCAGTGTCAGCTTGGGGACACTGGCCACATTTGCTCTGTGCATGGTCTTCCCCCCCCATTTCCTCCCCATCCTCATGCACTTGAGGAAGGTGGGGATTGGAGAGGCAAAGATTCTCTCCTGAAGGCCTGAGCTGGACCTTGAACCCTGGTCTCTGGACCCCGAGTCCAGGGCTGCCCGCTGGGGCCTTGAATGAGACCTGGGAGGGGTGAAATGCCCATGGTACCCAGAACATGGCAGGTGCTAGTTAAATGGGCAGGTGGCCCTGGGCAGGGGGTGGTCTGGGCCAGCTCCCGCAGGCCTTCCCTTTAGACCCTTAGTCACAGACCAGGGGCCCCGTGGGGCAAGGACTCAGCTGCACCCAGCCTGGAGGCCCTGCCTGGGAGAGACGCACGTTGTCGAAATCAACAAAGGGCAGGTAACCTCAGCGGAGCCAGGCAACTCAAAGCTGCCCGGCCGGTTTGGGGGGCAGGGACCAGGCCTGGTGTGGGATCTTGGAGCCTTTGCCTTTCCTTCTCCTGGGTGTTCCAACTCCCCAGGGCAGTGGCCCCATGAGGGTGGCAGGAAAAGCTCCTGTGCATGTGCCCATAATTCTCAGGTTATAGACCGCTCTGTGACCTGGGCCACCCTCATCTCATCTCATATCCTAGGTCCCTAGGAGGTGGGCGGGGCAGTGGCTCTCACCTTCCTTCTCAGAAGAGAGTGTGGAGGGCTTCCAGGAAGGTGGGGAGTAGTAGGGCTTGGCCTTGAGAGGTGAAAGTCGTCTCACCTAGCCCTCAGTAGGGCAGGGGCCACTTCCAGGCCTGTGCCCTGCTGAATACACTACCTCAAGAGTCCCCCAAAGGAAGCAGAGAGGCCCTCATGGAAGCAAGGAACTTGGCTCTAAGCTTCCTGGCAGCCAAGGCAAAAAGGGGAACTTGTAGGATTATGATAAGAAGAATGCACACAGTCATTTGCTGAGAGAACTGAAGTCAGGAGGTTTCCTAGGGAGAGTAAGCTGAAACAGCTTTCTTCTTTTTAAATTTTTATTTATTGATTGATTCGAGAGAGAGCAAGAGGAAGGAAGAGAGAGAGAGAGAAACACTGGATTGTTGATCCACTTATTTTTGCGTTCATTGGTTGATTCTCGTATGTGCCCTGACCAGAGGTCGAACCCGCAACCTTGGAGTCTAGAAACAGCGCTCTAACCCACTGAGCTACGCGGCTTTCTTGAGAAGCAGTGCTTTGTGTGAACTTTTGGTTCTCAACCTCCCTGTTTGAACCACCAGCCCACGTGGGCTTCCCCTACACCATGCCCCACTTTTTATTTTGAAATAATTGCAAGCTCACAGTAAAGTTGCAAGACTATATAAAGGGCTCTTGTATACTCTTTATGCGGATGTACCAAATGTTAACATCTACTATATTTGCTTTATTGTGAATTCATACTTCACCATCATCTCAATATTGCCTTCATAACTATTTTTTTTCCTGGGCCAGAATCTAATCCAAAACCACACACTGCATTTAGTTGTTCTGTCTCTTTGGCCTCAGTATTAGTTTCTAGGGCTGCATGAAAATTACCGCAAACTAGGTGGCATAAAACAGCAGAAATGTATTCTCTCGCAGTTCTGAGGGTCAGGAGTCTGAAATCCAAGCGTGAGCAGGGCTGCGCTCTCTGGAGCTCAAGGGGGGCCCTTCCTCTTCTCCCCGTGGCTGTTGGCCACCCTCCCTCCAGTCTCCTCTGTCTTCACACGGCCGTCTCTGAGCCTCCTCTCTTTCATAAGAACAGTTGTCATGGGACTTAGGGTCCAGCAAGATAATCCAAGATGAGCTCATCTCAAGATCCTTAGTTTACATGTGCAGATACCCTTTTCCAGATGTCACATTCCCAGGATCTGTGTGGACGTATCTTCTGAGGGCCACCATTCAGCCCACCAGAGCCTCCTTTAATGTGGACCAGATTCTCCGACTTTCTTTGTTGTTTGTGGCGTTGACATTTTAAGGTCATGCCCAGTTATTCTGGAGAGCGGCCCTCAGTGTTTCCGTGTGGTCAGAGGCAGGTTGTGTGCTTCTGCAGGAAGCCCATGGGGCAGTGGTGGGCCCTTCTTACGTCGCATCGGGAGGCGCACGACCTCCCGCTCCTCTCCTGTGGTCCAGATAGCAGAGGCTGCTCACGACCCAACTTTTGGGTGGTCAAGAAGTAGCTGCTGTACAGCACAGCAAATGCCCTGTGGGGTCAGGCGTGGCCTAGGTTAGGTAGGCACTTTCCATGGCTTATTTCCATCTTTACAACCCAGGGAGTGTGGCTTATGATCCCCATTTCACAGATGAAACTGAGCTCAGAGAGGCTAAGTGATCTGCCCAGGGACAAAAACAGCTAGTAAGGCCCAGCCAGTGTGGCTCCGCGGTTGAGCATCAACCTAGGATCTAGGAGATTGACGTTCGATTCCTGGTCAGGGCACATGCCCAGGTTGCGGGCTTGATCCCCAGTCGGGGGCGTGTAGGAGGCAGCCGATCAATGACTCTCTCATCATTTATGTTTCTATCTCTCTCTTTCCCTCTCCCTTCCTCTCTCTGAAATCAATAAAGGTATGTTTAAAAAACAAACAAACAGCTAGTAAGGGCGGGAGACCTGTTGTCTCTGTCTTAGCAAAGGGGTCCTCTCCAGGTAAACCTGAGCAATGAGCTATCTTCCCATGGGTTTTGGGTTTTCTCTGTTTTAAAAAAATCCAAACCACCCCTTAGGGTCTTTGTGAGACTGGTATGTGGGGGGGTAGGGAGCTGGCAAGGAGGAGCCTCTTAGGGCCACGCAAGCAGGTGAGCATGGACCTGATGTTTAAATGTGTGACTGGGGCGGCAGGTGGACTCAGGTGACTTGGGCGAGTTGCTTCACCTCTCTGAACTTTTTCCTCATTGTAAAATGGTAGTGATGACAGGACCGACCTCATAGGGTTGTCACAAGGTTAATGCCTGTGTGGGGCTCAGCATGGTGCTGAGCAGTGGCCTCTCAGAGCTTCCGAGAACCCTGCAGATAGCCTGGTCTGGTTCAGTTCAGAGAGGGGAAGGGACTTGCCCAGGGTCACACAGCCAGCAAGGAGCAGAGCTTCCTAGTGCCCAGTTCAGTGCCTTAGCCGCCCCTCACACCTGAAGGCAGAACCCCAGGGCTCAGGGGTTGGTCTGTTTGTCTAAATAGAGCTTAGGACCAGGGGCGTTGACTGAAGGAAGGGAGGGAGGAAGGGAGCACAGATCCACAGTGCTCAAGAATAAGCACAATTCCTTGGGAACTTGACTCCAAGCTTCCTGGCAGCCAGAGTGAAAAGGGACACATGCTCAGTCATGTAGCTTTCTTTGTCCCTGCTCCTCAGGGGAAATGGAGCTTTTCCAGTGACTCAGTAAAGCACTGATGGGTTGTAGGAGTCTGGTTTTCGTAACTTCTCCCAGCCAGTGCCAGAGTACATGCTGGGGTTCCCTGAATGGGGGTGGGGAGGAGGGGGGTTCCCGTCAGAGGGGACAGCATAGCAGAGGCGTGAAGGTGTGAACCAGCTGGTGTGTTTGAGGGCAAGGCAGGCGGCAGGCCCCTCCCCATGCCCGCCCTGACCTTGTGGGTCTGTCTCTCGTTTCAGTTGGGCCACGTGGTCCTTTCCCCAGTCTGGTTCCTCTATAACCTGCTCATGAAGATGTTCCAGCGCTCCACCCCGGCCATCACCCTCGAGAGCCCGGACATCAAGTACCCGCTGCGGCTCATTGACAAGGAGGTGAGTGCCAGCCCCCCGCAGGGCCACAGGGTGTGGGCCCCAGAGGCACCTCTCCTCTTGTCAGCATCACAGCATTTCCCAGGAGCCTACTGTGTGCTCCGGACATCACCCCCGATGAAGTAGATCCTATTATCTGCCCATGTACCAGATGGGGAAAGCAAGGTGATGTCCATTTTTATGACCACCAGGCAGAGGAATTTGTACCCAGGTCTCTGACCACAGAGCACATTCTCCAAACCACACTCATTATCCCACAGAAGGTCTGAATGGGAGGGACCCCTCAGGTGCCCATTTAACAGATGGGAAAACAGAGGGTGAGAGAGGAGTAGGGGGCATTTAAGTCACACTATAAGGTAGAAGTGGAGCCTGAACCCAGGCCCAGGCCTCCCGGTGGTCCCAGGTGCTTCAAATCCCAGTACCCCTTCCTTGAAAACAAGGACTGCTCCCCGCCCCTTTCCCCGTCCCCAGGGCCTGGCACTGTTACCACTGCAGACTCCCTGTGATATCCTGATCTCTCTTCTGCTCCATCTACCCTTCCCAGAGGCTCTTTCTTGCTACCTTATTCGAGGTTTCTCTTTTCAAACTTCTGATCCTGATTTAAAACCCTGTGCCCCTCACTCTCCCCCATCAAAGCCCCTCCCTGGTGCTATTTCTGGTCACTTGCAGCTGCCCCTGGAAGGGTGTCAGAGGGGAAACTGAGTCATGGAGCACAGAAAGTCACCTGCCCCGGACTCCATAGGAGCCTCAGATCTCCCTGGCACAGCGCTAGGGCTTCCTGCAGCCGATGGAACGTGTGTCTGGAATTGTACCAGGAGTTCATTGAACAGTTAAAGACCAGAGAGAGGGGAAAAAAGCTGCCCCCTCCTAGATGAGACCACATTTACCCTTTCAATATGTTTTATCCACGTTTTTCTTACTAAAATGAAATTGTAAGGTTTTGAAAGCTTTTCCGTTCTTAATATTCATTCTCCTTGTTGCTTTTTCATCCCAGAAGTAATGTGTGATTTATATGTGCTCTCTAGAAAAATTCTGTTTGTGAAGGGAGTGAACGATCCTCCCGCACCCGGTGCTGTGCAGTGAGCCGTTCACCAGCCCCCCCACCCCCCACTGTCCAGTGGGCCCTTC